CCGGTCTTTCCGCTTTACTGCCTCTCTAAAACACCTGGAAGCAATCTCAATGATTCAGAACCTTCCTAAAATCTTAAAATATGCTTCATGAATCATATGAAACGGGCTCTTCTGACGTTTTTCAAACTTATTTCTGTCTCTTGCCCACATAGTCCGCTTCTTAGTAGTTCTTGAAAAAGTGACTGCGTGATTGAAAATATTTTTTTCAAGAAATGATTCATTTAAATGGAAGTCTACATAAACTGCCCCGGCTTATCTTTCATTGTGGGAGTTAAGAGGCACAGACCATGATATTTTTAGCAGTGTTTGGAATATTTGTGTAACAGGAAATGCCCCACTTGTAAAAATAAATAAATAAAATAAATGCTGCACTAGAAACTGAGAAATGCCTGGGCTTTTATCCTTGGGTTTCCCCAGACCACTTACAACATCCTGTGTGCTAGTCGAAATGTGCGTCGGATTCTAGAAAGTCAGAGATTACCATGTTTCATGTCTTGCCAGACGTGTATACTGGCTAATGATATGTTCAGTAACCACCTTACAAGTTTCTCTTTTCACTTGTGCTGCTTCTTACGCCTCAAGTCTCCTTGTTCCACATCACCGCTGCTTGCTCTACTTCCTCTCCTACATCCTCTCTTTTCTTCTTTTCCGTTTTTCTTCCTGCTGCTCTTCCTCTCCCTCCTGTTCCCTCTGCAGTCTCTGGTGTATAATGTTCCCTGTTTAGATTTTAATGGAATGTGCAGCAGGGAGGCCCCACGGTCATCCATAACCCCGCACCCGGAACGTTTTCGGGAGAGACGCCAAGAAGACTCGAGTCCTGAATCAAACATAGCGGGGGGAAAAAAGTCTTGATGTAGTACTACTCGCTAACTTGGGCAATTTTTTTTCACGGGCTACCTGATAAGTGAATCCAGAAGAGCTATGAGGAGAACTTTTGATACATGCTGGCTCTGAACAGAGGTGAAAGAGTTGAATAGTTGGTTAATTATTAGGCTAAATCTTAATTTGTTTTGCTCTACTTCTTCTTCAGGCTTACAGAAATGAGATGTGATCTTTTTTTTTTAATGCAGTTGTTCCCAAACCCCATGCCGCCAAGATGTGACCGATAACCGGCCACGGAACATTTGATCCAATTAGATTTGGTAAAAATGTGTTATGATAATTATGTAATTTAATAGACTATTCCAGGTTTTTTTGTGCGATAATAACCTTGAACATGGCATGGTCTGTCTGTGCTGCACTTTTCCTCATCACTCTCCATCACGCCCACAACAACAGGATGGCATTTTTTAACTAATTAAGACATCAATCTGCAAGGGCATCAGTCTCCCTCATCACTGGCCCTGCGTGTGCCTTCTTCCTGTTACTGTTGCAGTTAGCTCGCAAACATCAGTAAGAACGCGGAGAGCCTCTTCAGAGCCAGTAGAGGAGATAAAAGACACATACAAACACTTTTGATACTTTTAATAAATACTGAAACCTCAGACCTATTTAGAGCCTAACTTGTCATCTTTTTTATCAACCCCTGAAAACTGTAGCCTAACATTTCAGACTTTCTGTGTCTAAAGAGAATAGAGTATATCTATTAGGAATATATATCAACACAGCCATAAGATAAGATAAGATGTACCTTTTATTGGTCCCCCTTAGGAGAAATTCAAATGGCCAAAGCGTCAACCACTCCCTGTTTACGTGATTCACCGGCAGACGTCTTGCTCCTGCGTTTTGTGTCAACAACTTTATGGGGGCTGACATGGTTCATCAGGTTTGGGGTGAAAATGTTCCATGCTGGTCACCCCGATGTTGGAAAACACAAAAGAAAAGAGGCAGCCCATCACACCTACAGTGTATAGTATAAATATTGTCTTTGTTCAGTGGTGTTTGTACTTCAGTGTGTATAGACTCACTAGGCCTGAAGCAAAGACTTTCAAGAAATGCTCATTGGAGCAGCAAATGCATAAATTCAATTTTATTGATATAACCAGCAGCAGTGTCCTCTCTGGAGATGTGTGCAGTAAAACCAGCTGAGTTAGTATCTTAACAGTGTTAGCAGCGGTGTTAGCAGCAGTGTTGACATTTCATTGTTGGCTTTAGCAAATAGATATGACGGGCCTGAATCTTCGTGTGTGTGTGTGTGCGTGTGTGCGTGTGCGTGCTTCTGCTTTTTTGTGTAACTCTGTGTGGTTTCTTCCCTCTGTAGCAAACCTCTGTCTGGCCTAGTTGGTATGGTGTCCAGGATGACCTGTCAATAGAAGAGCCCTCCACAGCCCTGCCACCAGCTGCATCCTTCTCCCACTTGGATATGCCACCACCATATGAGGCAGTCTCTGGAGGTAGCGCACACACACTCTTTAAAAACAGCACTGTGCCATGCGTCTGCTGCTTCCTCATTCACCAAGCTGATCAAAAGCTGAACCAGGAAGGTTGCTTCATTCTTATTTTTTTTTCCCTTCCTATTTCTTCATTCATAATTGCTCTGTTCACAGCAGCCAGTAAAGTAAAGCCAGATTTATGATGATGCAAGGAGTTGTAGATACCTACAGTGTAGGTTTTGATTAATAGTTCAGTGTTGGATTGTTTTTTTAAAATAACACTCCCCACTGTGTTTACATTGTTTCATTCACGTTGTGTTACGAGCAACAGCGGGAAAGTCTCTGCCTTTTTTCATTACTGCAAATTCCTGTGCGGTAACAGTATTTACATAGTTGGACTAGAAGATGGCTTTGCTAGATGTGTGTTACTCAAAAGGAGAACCTTTTTTGCTGCTGTAATCACTCTGGACAATCTGTACTGGCATTAGTAACTTGTAGGTGAAAACACCTCGGCTGCCTCACAGTTCTTACGTTCCCCATGTGGTATCTCCATAGCCCCGACACTACAGCGTAACTGAGCCTAAGCATGTTGCCACCATGGGGACAGCATAACCCCTAAACACAGAAGTTCACAGTACTTCTTGTGGTAAACTATTGTTTTCCGATTTAAAATGAGCCCACACACAGAGTACTCGGTTTGCTTTGAAAAGACAAAGGTGTCAGTAAGTTAATCTTACTGAAACCAGCAGCTTCAAGGTTTTCCTTGATGCCAGACAGTTCCTTGATGTATGCTGCTCATGTGTCAGTTCAGGCTTCAGTTAACTCACTTCTGTTGTCTGTTTTTAGCTGGGCTGCCAGAAGTAAAGCTGCTAAAGGAAAAAACTAACTCTTTCCACTAAGAGAGGCTCATGTTCTCCGCACACTACCGGAGCTTTGGGGGCAGTCAGATCTTTACCACTTGTTGAGCTTCCTTATTCTACATTCCCCCCCTGCATCGCTGCTACTCATTTGTACTTTTCACGCCTCCGCACCGCCGATAGCCCCTGGCAGGAGGCATGATGTTTTGGATGATCCTTAAATCTGTACAGTACATAGTCTAACTTATTTGTCTTTTACATGACTAACTACAGATGTGTTGTTTTTTTTCTTCATTGTAAGTTGAAGAAAGCACAAGCCAGCCATGCAAGTTGTTCTAATCTTTCTATCAGGTTTCAGAATCTCCTCTTTTGCAAATGGAACCTCATTTGTGCTCCTTCAGTCTGACAGCAGGATGTGGTTATAGAAGGTGTAAGAGGTGACATTTCAGCACTAATTGTATTACTTGATGTGGCTGCCTCTTTGTCGCCCCCATATATGATCATTTTCCTATCAAAGGTACAAGATGAGAGATACCTGGTGCTATCATGGAAATATTTGAATTCCACCAATGCATGAATGTACATGGATTACTGTCGGTCATGCAGTCTTTCTTGGTATATCTGAGGAAGCCATATTGTTTTCAAGTGTTTTTTTGTCAACCAATCAGAGAGAGAGAGCGTGTGGTCAGAGACAGTGAGGGCGAGGTGAGTGTACCAGAGTTGCAAAGGTGTTAATATGCAAGTGAAAAGAGAGCATGTTTTATTAGAATACAGCAAACAAGGAAGCTGGTTGAGCACAGAGTAAGGAGACAACTTGGCAACAAGAAAAAGTTGCAAAGAAGGAAGTGTTTTTGATGACGGGTTCGGTGACTCTACTTCTCTGAGGGATCAGTTTTCTCCAACAATGTTTTTGTCTGGGTTTTCCAAGATTGTAACGCAGTCTTTCCCACATCCTAAAAGTCACTTTCTATCACCGCATTTTCCTCCCGTGTCTCTCACATGTAGGATTTATATTTATCGATGTCTTTCCCCCCGTCTTCCTCTGCACGGCTTGTCATGTGAAGTAACACACACTTGCCATTTGCTGATGCAGCTCAGGGAGCGTTTGTTTTGATGCAATGGACCTCGTCACAAGCGCAAGCACAGCAGAATCATTGTCACATAAAAATGAAATGTCAGACATGATTCAAGATCTTATTTTGACTGTGACGGTGCAGCCTGAATGTTGGAGCTGATTTGACCTACTGCTTCTATTTATGTAGACAGCTGATCGGCTGGTTGACGTGTTTTTTCTCCCTTTTCCTTTCAGAGGATGATCTGAAGCCCCCTCCCTACAGCGAGTGTGCTCATGGCGGTGAGGCTGCCACTCCCTGTCTCTCCCAGCAGACCATCCTCATTCCTGAGGGAGGAGACTCCGTCAGCGTAAACGAAGCCCCACCCCCTTACACACCGTCTCCCCCCACACAAGTCAGTCAGCAAGACGGCTCTGTAAGCCACAGTGAGTCCCAGCCAGAGAGCAGGTCCACCTAACCAATCCCTGATGCCAGTTTGCCTTTTCCATGCACTGCCTTCCTACATCCAACCTCAGCAATCGTTGCCAGCCTAACTCTCATCACATGAGAGCAGATGTTTATTTGGGTGCAAGTCTGTGTGTGTGTGTGTGTGTATGTGTGTATGCTTGCGTACTTGGTGGTTTTTAGAGCTAAGTTGATTTTCTATTTTGTATTGTTTAAAAAGTGGTCATCTGATAAGTTTGGCAATGACATCAGCAAGCCTGTGTGCCTCAGTCAGGACCGCAGATCCTGCCTCCCAGCAAGGATAAGGATAATACCCTTGACCTCTAATCTCAGAGGGAGTCAGTGAGGTACAGATAAGCAGAGAGAAAGATACTTTCAAGAGTGTTCTGTTTTCTGCATTTTCTCTGTCTGAGCCCACTTCTTTTCACAGATCTAAAACAACTGACTCATTCTAAAAGCTCAATTGGGGAAATGAGAAGTTTGTTGACAGCTTTTTGTTCCTGCTAATGTGATACATTATATGTTCGACATTACTTTGTCTGTGTGTGTTCTGAACCAAGGTTGTCATAGTTAACTAAAACTAGGTGTGAAACAACATTTTAGTTAACTGAAATAAAAACCTAAGACAAAAAACTAACTGTAACCATACTGTGCACTTACCAAACAAAATGAAATAAAAATATACAGGGAATGTCTTTAGTTTTAGTCTTTGTCACTTTGGTCAAATTTTTCAGCACAAGCACGCGGAGGCATCGGTGCACATGTTAAACTAATAAAAATTACCTGAGAAAACCCACTGTGGAAACTAACTGAAATTAAACCGAATTGAAAACCAAAATTAAAAACTAAATAATACTAGAAACCAATGAAAAATGTAAAACCATAATTGAAGACAGTAACAGTCTGTGAAATTCATAGTGTAGACAGTCCAATTAGATTTCCTGGTAATTTGCTGCATACATGTGCATATTAAATAAATTGTGTTTCAACTTCTTCAAAGTGTTATTACTCTCGATGCTTCATTAATGCTGCACATCAACACACGTGTTATTTGAAGACAAAGTATGTCGACAGAGAACTATTTGATAATGAATGCTCTAATTGCTTTAAGTAATGACTTCATTAGCATAACTGCTTCTGTTTAATGTATCATGGTGATTATTCTGACACATTTAGGCAATTCAAGTGCCTATTAGATCTGTGGATGGAAGTGAGTGACTTTATGGAAGTAGAAAAGATGTTTTCTGTTTTATCACCTCTACTGCTGGGTTCTGTGTGTTGCTGCTTTACATTAGCACCTATATGCCAGAAAGCAAGAGTCCGTCTGTGCAAATAGTATAAACACGAGTTTTGTTATTTCTGTGTTTAATAAAAAAAAGTTGTGGGATCGGGAAAAAAAGTCCTCAGAACTATGAGGAAAAATGTATGCTTCGTCCCATAATACACATGAAAACACATTTTCTCACGTGGTAGATCCAGCTATAAGATAATCGGACTTGATGTTAAGAATTGTAATGTTGAGCTGAAGGCTTAATTGATATAATATTGAATGAAACAAGTGCAACAATCCCAAATAAAAATACGCACAAGGCTGTGAGCTAAAGCTCAAAATCGTTGATGAAGCTGAGCTGAACGCTGCATTTAATGCAGTTGCTAAAAAAAAATCAACAAAACTCAGTTATTTTTATTTTTTTCCTTCATAATTGTTGCAATGAGACTAACCAAAAAATGTTTAACAACGGCTTCTGTTCCTTGTAATCTTCATGTCAATCTACCACAGGCTGGTAGAGGTTCGCAGATTTTGTGTATTTCTTCTGTTTGTATTTTCTGGTATAGTGTTGCTTGGGGGAAAGATCATGACTCTGCTTTTTGCTTTTTGTATCACGCATTTCAGATAATCCGGAAATAACACTGTAAGAAAATGCTCCCCAATGATCCACCTCCCGTGTTTGTTTCAGCAACAATGTAATCTGTGTACAGTTTCTGAACATTACAAAACATGAGAGCAAGAAACACAAAATGAATGCTGTATAAATATATTCTGGGAAAGTGCGTAAAAGTGGATCTTCGTGCAGGATCAGAATTTAAAAAGTGTTTTAATGATAATCCTTCGTATTGTGATGACAAATCGTGGAGCATCTTTCACTGATGCCTTTAAAAAAAAGTCTTTCCTGTGATTCTACAGTCTGAAGGATGCAACAGAGAAGCTGCAGTGTACAGATCTGAACTCGTTCACTAACGTAGCAGCAGCACGATGAGGATCAAATACTTGTTACAGTCCTCTACTGTAACGTACGTCCTGTCTGTTAACTTCATGTTCATTCCCATGATGGTTGACATCAGATCTCTCCAGTCAGTAGCTTTGTGATTTGAGGGGAATTTAATTAATTTTATTATTTTTATTTTTTTTCTGTTTTGGGGTAAATACATCTTCTGTATTAAACTGTTGTTTATAATCTTGCTAGTGTTATTTTTTTTTGCTTTATCTTGTGAGTGTGTGAAGGTACTCCTAAACAGTATCCATCCACTGTAGAGGAACAGTACACTCTGGTTCCAAAACAGAACATATTTGCTCAATTTCACACACACTGTTTCTAATTATTAGTTTTTATTTTTGGTAAATTACTTTTTGGGGGCATGTATCCATTCTATTTTTAAGCGAACCAGCCTTTAAAATAAGTATTCGAGCAATTTAGCTTTGCATTGGAGGCCAAGATAACAGAATAAACATTGAATCCTACACTTCCCATAATTTAACTCAACTGCGTCTTACATCAGGGTTATTTTCTCAAACTTTGGACAGTTCCCTCCAGAGCCACAGAACACCTTACATAACACTATATAGTCTTTTCAAATGCATTGTATGAGGCTTTTGTACTACACTCAGTTCCAAGAACAATTTAAAAGAAGATAGATAAAAATAGACATACAGCTAAAGGCAAGGACAACAAAGATGGGTAAAAATGAACAGTGTAATGTACGTACGAACTATATAAATACAACAACAAGGACGTAGAGTGGGTATATACGGTTTGTTATGGTTTGTATCCTTGCTGTTGTAGCAAGGATACATTAGTGCAAGGGTGCAGAGTACAATACATATGTAGAGAATGAATGTTGGTTTAAGATTTAAGATTTACTTTATTAATCCCCTTTTGGAGAAATTCTTTTCACTCTTTTTTTTTTAATTTTATACACAAACCTTATGTTTGAAAGCACAAGCCAAAACCTTAAGACACTCATGTATTCATGTACCTGCATAACACGTTATTCTTCAAACATTTATTTTTATTTACTAATTTACTAATTTAAAATTTACTAACTATCACTCGTGAATTGTTTATTAAAATAATCTGAGATTTCAGTTGAAACTTAATTTAATTAAAGCAGCAACACACACATTTAAACGGGACAGGTAACAGAATTAAAAATGAGTTGGTGGAACTAGAAAGTGCGTACAGAGTACTGATACAGAACCAAAAGCTGTGCCAAAATAATGGAAAACTGTAACTTGTATTTGTTTATTCTATTCACTAAGTTTTACCTGGTTTCTACAGACAACACATAAGACATAATTCAGTTACGGCTTTTCTCCTTCACTCAGGAGCCTGTCAGTCATTTTGTAGATGTAAATTTTTTCAAGGGTGTATTACAGTTTTTTCTCACATCCAAAATGGCCGAATGCAACCAGTGCACATCAAACAACGCTTCATACACATCCCAAGATTAAGTCAACTCTGCTAACATTTACCTCCCAAAATCCCCATCTTTTCTGTTTTCTTAGAAGTAGATGTAGCAAATTACAACCTGAATTTTGAAAGATGTGGTTAATAAAAGTGATTTCCCCATTGGGGATTAAAGTATATCTTCTTCTTCTTCTTCTTTTTTTAGTAACAAAAGAGGGAAGTCTATACTAAAAAAAAGGACACTTCCTCTATTTATGAAGCTCAGATTTCTGAAGCTTCATATTAGCTTTGGTTGAACTTTGTAGAAACTGCTCTGTATGTAGTCTTCCATCTCTCACAGCTATGAGACCCCTGTTAGGAACTGATCCCTCTACAGCCGGTATGGACGTGAGGGATGATTACAGTGACTGAAAACTGTTAAAATCTACATTTGGGCATGTGTGTTTTGACATAATGAACCTATGATGTTCCACTAGAGAGCAGTATTGCACCAGTGTTCATTTCAATCACACATCAGAGTGGCCTGCACCTGTTGCTGAGAGCTGAGTGTGACACAAGCAGCGCTGTTGATCACTTTAGTATAGATTGATGTCTTTTATTACACATTTTTGTGACAGAAAATGGCATTGGCGTTCGCTCCAAATGTCTAAGACTTCAGATGGAAGAAAATAATTGGGCTCGATCAAGATCAATTGCACAGCGGTCTTGTGGAATGTATAGCAGAGTAGATACTCAAGGACGTTCATTTTTCATATGTTAGCCTCTCAGCTGCTGCATCACTAAGCTGCATACAAATGAGCTGAGCTGGAACAATTCACAACACTTGATTATGGACCTTTTTGGTAAGCAAAATATTGCATGTGAAATCAATCAGATAAATGGTAATTTGACAGGTAACTAGAAAAACAAGCCACAGAAGAAAAATGCATGTGGAACTATTGGGATTAGATTATCATGCCTGTTATTAATGGTAAGAATATTTATATATATAATTAGGAATTAAAATGACATCATAGCATTTGCATGCTTTATCAGTTGTCTACTTTTTAAAGCTCTTATTTAGATTTCACTTCAAACACAGAAATCAAGGTAATCCATCAATAACACAGCCTTGATTCATTGATTCATATGTGAGGGTATATCTTGTGCCAGTGTTAAATACAGTCAGATAATCGGTCTGTGTTTGTCATTCCTGTAGGCAGTGCACTGGTTTTGCTTTGAGTAATTGATGCTTTCAGGGGAAATATTTGCATTTTGGAAAACAGGCAACTATCCATCATGTAAGCCGCTTTAGTAATCATTACATCTCGGCATAAACAGCTGTATAATAGAGACGACACAGAAACGCTCCCCTCAAGGATATTCACTGAACCCCTCTCATGATTATTGAGGTCTTCAAGGCCGTTTGAGGAACAGAAGCAACACCTCAATTACCCTCTGTTGTCTTGTCAAAGATGCTTTGCACCTCCAAGCCCTTGTGCAGTACTTCTCAAATGACGAGTATTTTTTAAGGGTTTCTGAATTCAGCCCATTCCAGGCCTGGCTGAGGATGTCTGTTACTGATTTCCCACCCTCAAAGTCATTTCAGACGAGGATACACATCACTAGCCTGACCAACGGTGTTATTTTACACTGTTAAAATTTTTATCTTGCTACGAATTCATTTAACATCCTTGTGCAAGGACAGTATAACAATGCAACACACAACAGAGGGAATGTTAATGAGTTTTTTGCAGGTCATTTAACTGCTAACAGATTCCTTCCTTTTTCTGTCTGAACACCTTCATCACTTTTTGTTCTAATGTCTTACTTTTCTTGTTAGTTTGGTTCAGTGTTAATGTAGCCAGCTATCCATTAATTATAGTTTTTAATGTTCATTCTGACTATATAAAACCAGAAGGAATTGGAACCACTTCCATTATAATTATATATGGAAAAATGGGCGTGCCTTATACGCTTCCGTTCTTTAGAAGCCCCTCTGCTAAGTAGCCATCTTTTTCAAACCATATTTGTCTCATAAATCTCGTTGGTGGGTTTAGTAGTAAAGACGTGTGTACATTTATCAGCTGCTGGCGCCTGTTTACAGAGAGGATGATTTCCTGCCAGAGTACACAGTGTCCAGACATTAACATCCACTCAAATATTGTCAAAGATCAGAAACCTCTGGGTGAATCGTATCAGCGCAGACGTGTGACACTCATCTGCTTCTGTGTAAACTGCTAAACAGTTCCTCTGGTGTTTCAGTGGCACATAAAAGCAGTTTTACCCTTGAGGCATGTTTGCGTCCCATTTGAGAATTGTGAGTGATGAAAAACAACTGCAAAGTAAGTTGGTGCTTTATTTAAGTACAGGTAGTTTACTTGAGATTTTCATGTTGTTCTACATTTATTTGACCGGTGTAGTTACTTGTTACTTTACAGATTAAGATTTTGCATTTAAAAACATTTGTTTAGTTGTTTAGTTGTTTAGTTATAGATGAATCTATTGATTTCCTACTTTTCTGGCTTTTGACCATTTACAAAAACCTGTGTGCAGTCGGAGCTGCTTGTCACGTTACAGATGTTTAGGAGTTGTTAGCAGCTCCACAAAGAAAAAAAAATACACATTTGTGTCGCAGAACATTGTTTTTCCTTTTTCCCATGAATCATCTCACAACCCCACAGATGATGGATGGATGGATGGATGGATCTTGTGAACCTTTTGAACTACCTAACAAAGTATCTCCACTCCATGTAGCTACAGCAGTAAAATGCTACACAGGGGACATTTTACTGTAGAACTATTACTTACTTTTGATTATTTAAGTACATTTAGAAGAAAATACTTAATTTAAGCGCTTTAACTTGTAATGTAGAATTTTTACATTGTTTTATTGGTACTTTTACCAATGTAAAGGAACTGAGTACTTCTTCCACCACTGATGAAAATAATCTGACGTCTATCTTTGTTGTTTTATGACACATCCTACGTTTACTATAATAACTGTTAAAAATGCATTGATTAGTAATGAGGGCTGGTAAGCAGTGATTGGTTAAGTCAGAAAGTGCAATTAAATATTAGACAAAGTTTTGAAGAGTCAGTAGGTTTTCTCCTTAGTAACAAAGCTGAGTGTGTGGTTTGCTTCACACTGTGTTTTTAAAAAAAAAATTTAAATCCTGCTGTCCATACTAGCTGTCATCGACATCAAGTGTCAACAGCATGATAAGCAGGTTCATCATTTCTCCTTGGCCCGCCACTATAGATATAATCTAGAGGGCAGGGACATGGCTGCCGCTGTGTCTGTGTGATGACAGGATAAGTGAGGATGTCTGAATGTCAGGCAGTGAGGATGAGCACCTGGTGCAGACAGGCATGTGTTTGAGCATAATGATGTGGCAGCCAAGATATCAGGTTATTTCTTTTGAAAAATTTATTATAACCCGCTGGATATAATCATTATTAATTTTCCTCAGGACCTATTCTTTAATGTCTCCAGTGCCTATTGTGGTCTCACCAAGCAGTGCACTCTTCCAAGAAGGTAATTTGTTGGTCACTGCAGTCAATATGTTTTGCATTTTTAATCCCAGAAAATCTCTCCAAATGGAAAGTTGTCATCCAGGCAAGTGAGTTTGTGACTTATATTCACCACTTGCTTAAAGGGGAAAATTAGAAACACTCCCCTCCTGGAGGACCTGCAGCTCGCCTCAGCATTGGCCTGTGAAGCAAAACCATTCATCTGTCCCACCACTGTTCCTTCAGCACTGTAAAAAAACAGCTGAGAGTTGGTGCAGAGAT